GTAATGAATGAATGAAGGGTTTAAATGTGAAAAAGAAGGATTAAAAAGCATCGTAAAGTCAGGAAAAAGAAAAAATGTCAAACTTTTGTGTCAAATGGTTCCCTCCTTGTAGCTCAGTTACTCTGAGTGTTTTGATTGAAGGGAAACGTCMATAAAAGGAAACCAGTTCAGAACTGGACCCGGCTGAGCATCACCTCAGAGGCTGAATGGATTTTCTGTCTTTGTGYCAACATCAGTACTTTTTCCATCTGGGTCTGGGTCCATCCATGACCTGTCTCTAGATACAGAACCTCCTTTAGTTTTTTTTACTCATATTTATGTGAAGCTGTAAGTTCAGTCAGCCTGGTGGAAGTGATGATGAGCGATGAAGGAGTTTTCCTCTTAAATGGGGATAAAATGTTTGGCAGCAGAAGAAAATGTCACTTTGAATCACGGACAAGCTGTCAGAGTAATCTGAGATAAAGTCCAAAACAAAGAGTTTTATTCCAACAAACATCTTTTTAAAAATGTCACACAGGAAAAGAGCTTTTAAAAGATGTAAAACGAGCAAAACTCCACTTATTGCAACACAAAGTGTTTCAGTTTGTGGGGACTGAATGTGGGTGCAGATGAGATAAAAATAAGATAACACAGTTTTCAGATGTAGCAGGTGAGGAGTTTCTCTCAGGCTGACCTCCTTCTGCCTGCCCGCAGCTGCGAGAAGGCTCGGGAGGAGCTGCTGGAGTTCCAGGAGGGGAGCAGGGAGCTGGAGGCCGAGCTGGATGCTCAGCTGGGTCAGGCCGAGCATCGGATCAAAGACCTGCAGTCTGAGAACCAAAGACTCAAGAATGAGGTGGACACACTCAAGGTAGCCATTCGTCAGTGTTGTATAAAGTACCTCAAAGTGATACTTGAGTAAAAGTACAAGTATCTTATCCTAAAAGTACTTTGATAAAAGTTAAAGTCTTCTCTAAAAATATTACTTAAGTATTAAAAGTAAAAGTACTGAGTAAAAGTGAGCAGTTAGATTTTCCAAAATGACATTTATTGAGAGGTGACTTCTTCAAAAAATATTTTTTCTAACAGCGTGCAGCTGTGATGGGTTGTGTACAAGCTAATAGTGTGTCAGAATGGTAAATATTTATACTTCTCATTCAACCACAGTTAAATTCACTCTATCTAGGAGGCACAATTTATATGTATAGTATTTATTTAGTTTTTTACAAGCTGGAATGAAAACAAGAAAAAATTAAATAAAAGTAACGACTTTCTACTTCTTGCTTTTTGAAAAAATATAAGAAGTAGAAGTAAAAAGTA